GCATCAGACTCCCCGCGAGCTATATTATTGCCGAGCGCATTAGCGCGAGGCTACTACTCCGGGTTGTATTCTCGCGATATGCGTACGTACGCGTCGGTCACGCTTAAGAATGTCAATTAGTCACGCTTGGGGAATGTCAATTAGTCACGCTACAGCAATCCTATAAAAAGGTATTTTGGTGCTAGAACTATTGACTCTTGTGGTTGGAGCCTAAAATACTGACTTTAGACAATCGACATAGGTACATAAAACACACTACACCGTCGCTAATGTTCACGCGTACTACTACTATTATACACGGCGGGGTTCTCGCGTCCGATCTTTTCCTTGATGCGCATGCACACTGTGAACAAGATGAAACTGAAGAAATCTTCTGGACCGGACAATCTCACTGCAGAACACCTGAAATTCGGGGGTCAAACCATCATCACGTGGCTAACAGAGATCTTGAACTCCATCGTCGATGTAGAGCGCATCCCGTCATGCCTCAAACTAGGAATTACTATCCCTGTGTACAAGGGCGGAGGCAAGGACCCCCTCAATGCAAACAGCTATAGAGGTATCACCCTCAATTCAGTCGTATCCAAAGTTTTAGAAACCCTGATCCTCAACAGATTGGAGCCTCTCTTCATGGAGGCTGGCTTGCCACATCCTAACCAATCAGCCTATAGGAAGTGTGTATCCTGTGCGGATGCAATTTTTGCCACCCAAGAAGTGATAAACCGATATCTCCAAGAAGGGGGAGAAGTGTATATGTGTCTTTATGACTTGGAAAAAGCTTTTGATTCAGTCGAGTTCGCCATCCTTCTGAAGAGACTGTTTGACGTCGGTGTTAACTCAAAAACTTGGCGTATACTACAAAATTGGTACATCGACGGTCAAAGTTCTGTACGCCTGGGTCAGCATGTATCCTCTCCCTTTGCTCTGGGTCGAGGGGTACGACAGGGGTCCATTCTGTCACCAGCGCTATTCTTACTGGTCATGGACCCGCTGTTAAGACAACTGCAGTCACTCTCTATTGGTGCATCAGTAAACAACATGTATGTGGGTGGCTTTCTGCACGCGGATGACATTCGCACGTTAGCCTCTTCTACAACAACACTTGAAGCACAGATCTCTACCATCAAAAAGTTCACTGAAGACAACTTCCTGAAATTGAATACCTCCAAGTGTGAGATCGTGGCCTTGAAGAAATCGTCTAGCAGAACAAACCAAGAAAGCACCGAGGTCGGCGAATGTAGCTTTCCCGTGAGTGGTGAAGCAATTTGCTTAGGATACCAGTGGAAGCAGGATTTGTCTTCCTCATCTGCAATACAGAATCACATCCAGAGAGCACGAAAGGCCTACTTTCAGTTTGGCAGCATCTACGCTTTTCAGGGCAAACTGAGCCCTGTATCATGTTGCTCTATAGTGGAGACATGTGTTCTACCCATTCTTCTCTATGGGGTAGAAAACTGGGTTCTGTCACCTGAATCCATCCGAATGCTCGAATGTTTCCAAGGAGAGATTGCAAAAAGAATCCTGAAACTGCCAAAATGGTACTCCAACACCGCGGCGATCGTAGCACTTGGCTGGAACTCACTCCACTCAGTTTGCACCATCAGAAAACTAAGGTTCCTGCAGAGAGTCATGACAAATGAGGAAAGCATCTGTCATCGAGCTTTCTCAGCTATGGTAGATGACGTGGAGGCACTCAGTCTAGTGAGGGAATGCAGGGAACTGGAGGAGAGGTACAAGTCGAATTTTACATCAGACATACTGAGTGCCAATGAGCTCGCAGATGGGCTTAACATCATCAGAAATGCACAAAAGATCATCAACAAGAAAGACCAACTGCTGCTGCTACAAAAGGTCTCCAAACATCAGTTTGTGCACAAGATCGCCGAGTGTGTTGGGTGGAAGAAGTTGTGGGATCATGCACTGGATCACGGCCCCTCAGTTATTAAGGGGATGAAGAACCTTGTGAGGGTGATTACCTACCCAGATCATTCACCCAGCAAATGTCCTCTGTGCGATACAGCTGATCTGGACAAACCAACTCTGGCCGAACATGTCATCACCAACCACACAAAAAGTGACAACTCCTGGTGCACTCTACTTGACTCTTTGACTACCATGGACCCCACCTTCTTCAGTCATGTGTTATGCTTCCTACATGTTTTTTAACTTGTCTGTATACATGTCATGCCCGGGCGGGCCATTCAAACATGAACTTTGAACTTTGAGCTAGCTATAGAGCTAGAGGTGAAACTGTGCCTCAGCCAAACCGGATTATATAACCGACGGGAATATTGCGAGTGAAAGCAGTCGTTTCAGGAAAATCGCCCTTTTGGTTTCAGGCCGCCTCGTAGCCTGTAGTGCCAGAATAAGCGTCGACACACCAACTACTGTAAGTAACCCTCGCTGCGCATGCGCAATAAGTCATTGTGTATGATTACTGCAGTGCGGTGGGTGTTTTGTCAGACTTGAAACGATATTTTGATGCAAGAACTAAACGATGAAGGACACAGGATCATTGAATTGTGTCTCACTTGATTACTTGACGTGTATGCACCAGGCGCGTCCCCTGGGAGGATAATGAGCTCCTGGTGTATTAACTGAATCAAATTTGAATAGAATTATTAACCCTCTTCACTCTACCAATCATGAATGCCAGCTATGGGTGATGATATCTTTCAACGCATACAGCTAAATTTGGACAGTATGCTTGCCTATTTCAGGTCATAAATTTGCGTCGCTACAGCAATCCGTTCTATGCTAGTAAAAAGATATTTTTGTGCTAGAACTATTGACTCTAGCATTGACCCTTGTGGTTGGAGCCTAAAATACACAATCGACATAGCTAGGTATAATAATATACTAGAATAATGTTCAACATTGTTGGCGAGCGGGAGCGACCCAACTTGGGATTTGCCCGGTTGATCGCTTAAAAAGAAGCGCGTACAAAGACGCGCATGCGCACTTACACGACGTACGACGGTCGTAGATATATATAAAATTATATAGAAAAATCGCGCCGTTCGTACCACTAGGTTAGCTCGCTCCCGCTCGCCAACTAGAAAAATGGATAAAACACACTACACCGTCGCAATGTTCACGCGTACTACTATGGTGAAGGCCTGGGTTGCGTAGATACGTTTTCGGGTATATAATTATTATATTATAGCCTCGTTCCCAGGCCTGCCTTCCGCTGGTACACACTGTTTGCGCATGCGCTGAATTTTCCCAACATTCCAGGATTTCCGTATCACGCCCGGATATCTCCGTGTTGTAACGTCACTCTCGTATACTCTCTTATAATTTCCGTTTTGAGAGACGGCTCAGGAGACATGAACGATTTCGTGGCGTACGCTCTCCAGCGTTTGCACTCTCCAGAATTGCAGCTGAAAATGAGCAGGAGCTCCCTTAGACTGTCAACGATTTTTCTACTCATATTTTTGAGAAAGAAGGCGACTAGAGCGCACAGTTTTGGCAACGATTCCGGTCCTAAATGTTCGCGCATGCGCAAACAGTGTACGACCAGGCCTTCCACACGGGAAGGCCTAGGAGAACGGGGCTAGTTCTCGGGTCATGCACGCGCCGTGTCAGTAGTTACGCATACACCCTGCTTCAGGTACATTAGCTTAATTCTGCTTTCAACAGTTAGCTATCTCTACAACACCCATGAACATCAGAGTGACTGAAAATGCAGAAGGCATGAAAAATAGTGGAAACAAGTGGAAAAATCATTTCTTCAAAATGAAGGGGATATAGGGATGGCTTGAAGCACCAAAAAGGAAGAAACAAGGGGTCATTACACAGCAAAGATGCACCAAGCTATACATGACACCATCCCTATATCTTTGTATAGTTCATAAGCAAAGTTTAATATGAGACAAAGATATAGGGATGGTGTCATGTAGCTTGGTGCATCTTTGCTGTGTAATGACCCCTTGTTTCTTCCTTTTTGGTGCTTCAAACCATCCCTATATCCCCCTTCATTTTGAAGAAATGATTTTTCCACTTGTATATAGTTTGTTTGATTCCTCTGCTAATATGCTTTCTACTGGACACAATGACGAATTAGTGTATATAAGAAAGAAGAATGGTGAACTAAGTTGTGTGCAAGTGTGAAGTGTGCAAGAATGAATATATATAGTTCTAACCATAAACAATATATACCACAATAAAATATTTCTAGTATATATTATACAAGGGATAAAAACTTGCTAGTCCGTTGAGTTCCCTATGGTTTTAGCTAACTGCTGCTAACTCTTATTTTACTAACTCTAAAGGCCAGGGAGTCATTGTTCATATACTGCCTCCCTCTTCTACCCTTGAGCAGATGCTTGTGAGAGATCAACTCCGTAAAGCCCCAACCCTCTTCCGACCTCTCTCCTTCCGTTACCCTCGAGAAGATATCCTCATAGTCTTCGTCAGTGTGCGACGTTTCATCCACGATAGTGAAAGAGTAGTTTTTCCCAGCTGGGCTCTGGTCCACCAACTCGAGTTTGATTGTGCCGCTGAATGGCCACTGGAGAGCGTCGTCAAATTCACCTCTCATCATGTAGAGGGCCACTCCAAGATGAGCGCTGGGGTTGGGTTTGAACCCGTTGGCGTCAATACCCAGACACATCTTGTAGCCACCGACACCAGTGTAGAATGGCGGACTGTACCACTCGCGATTCGATCTTCGATGCCACCTGAAGTTTCGAAAGGTGATCTCCCAAGATTGTGAAAGGGTGCCGGATGCATGAGTGTGGAGCTGCATCGTGTACTTTGCCAGTGATCGAAGATGGTCCTGGATGTTTTCCTTGATGTGTTCTGTCAACCTGCGGCGTTTGACTCGGGCCGTGCACCCAGTGTAGCTGAACTCGCAGTCGACTTCTTGCTCAGGGCATTCTTGGCTGAGGTGACGCTTCAGCGATCTCCGCTCTATGCTGCCGTCGGTGCACTCGTTCGGGCACACGAGAGGGAACTTACCACACATCGGCCAGTGCTCTCGCGTGACGGTCTCGTACGTGCTGGTATAGCCGCAGTGAGGACACGAGAACGGGCGCTTCGGACAGTCGTTGCTTTCGTGGCTTCCCATCTCTCGTCTGGGAAACCTGCAGCCGCAATTGTGCGAACACGTCAACTGAACGAACCCGCATCTATTTCCAGGGCCGGTCTCCGTGCTAAGGTGATCTTTCAGCACTCGAATCTCGCCCACCCAAGTACAACCCAGCGCCCTTTTGCTGCAGTACACCTTCTTGCCCAGCACGACTCGCTGAAAATACTTGTCTTCCACGAACCTCAGCGGAGTTCTCTTGCAGAGGGGGCAGCGTTTTCTCATCCGTTTCAGCCGGCGTGCCGCCGACAGCGAGACGTGGTTCCCGCAGCAGCGCGTCTGGCACGGCCTCAACATCACGTCCAGCTTCACCGGACAGAAGAGGTCTCGCGACGGCTCCTCGAAAAAATCGTAAGAGTGCTCTTCGTTGAGGGACGTCTCGCCGCCCGACGACCCGCCCGTAGAGTCGCTGCCCGTGGACTCGTCGGACGTCGATGCCGCCGATTCGCTGTCATTGTCATCTTCGGACGACGAGCTTTCTTCCCAGTACAAGTGTTCGTTGGTTACGCCTTCACGAAATGGTCGAAGGAAACGCCCGTCCAAAGACATCCCCACCCGCCGCCGCAGTGTCAATGAACGCAGCCGGAAAAGTGGGCGTAGCTATTAAAATACGCGCGCGCCAAAATTTACCGCCAAAAATTGAATTCATGTACACATTTCAATTGTTTTACTAAGAGGCAAAAGTATAAAACAAAGTTTAGCTGTCTTCAGTGCTTTCTCTTATTCTTGCGTCGTGCGAGGAGTGAGTTCTTGGACTCTCCCATGGGCTTGATGGTGGCTGGTTCATCCTTGAACCTCATGGTGGCCAGTGCATGCGACATCTCGTCCTATACATATGTACAACACGCACATGCATGCACAGGCATACAGACAGATATACTTTCCACCGTCCATAGCTACTATATGGGTCTACAAGCATGCCAGCAATTTATAGTGTACAGAGTAATTGGTTTCTAGAACAGGAACCGAGATGGGTATACAGTGTCAAAATGCATGTACAGTATGTACACAGTGTATACAGTTACATACGCACATACTTCACACCTCCCACAACCACTTTAGACATGCTTTTATACGCACATACTTCACCCCCTATAACAACTAAAAAGCCCTTTAGACATGCTAGCAATGCCATCCCCGTAGAATTAAAGTTCAGGCAAGTTAGATATTGTCCTATGGTTGGGATAAAGTATGCATCTAAACACAGTAACAAGATCACTAGGAAACGTGAAAAGGGAATTCCTAACACACAATATTGGTACTACCCACATGATGTCGTCGAGCGTGTAAGCATAGAAAAACAAAAATGCTGTGGGTTGGGTAGTTGTCGATAGTACACAAGCATAGCGATAGGAATAGCTATAGTGTCAGCCCACCCAATACTCAATATTCCACACACACTACACAGAATGAAAATCTGTACGCATATTGTAGTACGTAGCATCTACGTAACTGGAGATTTCTGAAACTACAATTTGCTGTTATCAGCAAGGAACTGTTCACACAAGGATGATATCCATAAGAGAGTGTCACATGGACACTCATTGTTTCAAAAGCTTCTGAGGCTTTCGTTTCATTTTTGACATTTGTAGTTTGTGCATGTGGGAGTCAAAATGAAAGCAAACACAGCACCCTGCTATGTATATAGAATGCCGAAAGTGGGGGGTGTGTCTGACCTGCATGTCCATCCAGATGTCTTGCTCTTCCTTCAGGACTGAGCACGACGCCAGCGGTGTCTCTGGAACCTTCTGGTAGCCCTGTGTATGTGTGTACACATGGAAGGAGTTTGGTTAGAGCGTGTACACAACAAGACAGAGAAGAACGTAGAACAAGTGGCAGACATGTGTGTATTGTAGTAGGCGGGCATAATGAGGCGTAATATGAGTTAGTGTACGCAGCAAGATCCACACAACAAGTGGCAGGCACGTGATAGTATAACATGTACTATTATAACGCTATGTACATCCAAGTGTATAATCAATGTTTTTCCTTTGGGGATGGCCTTCCTAAAAGGCCACACAATCAACAAACAGTGCTGGACTAAGAAGGGAAGTGGTTCAAGAATCTGACAACAACGCTATTCAAAGAGTATATACCAGTTACACCTAGCAGCATAGTGGGTTGGCTCACGTACATATATCCATGGGTATATACCAGTTACACACACCCTAGCAGCATAGTGGGTTGGCTCATGTACATATATCCAGGGGTATATACCAGTTACACCCTAGCAGCATAGTGGGTTGGCTCACGTACATATATCCAGGGGTATATACCAGTTACACACACCCTAGCAGCATAGTGGGTTGGCTCACGTACATATATCCAGGGGTATATACCAGTTACACACACCCTAGCAGCATAGTGGGTTGGCTCACGTACATATATCCAGGGGTATATACCAGTTACACCCTAGCAGCATAGTGGGTTGGCTCACGTACATATATCCAGGGGTATATACCAGTTACACACACCCTAGCAGCATAGTGGGTTGGCTCACGTACATATATCCAGGGGTATATACCAGTTACACACACCCTAGCAGCATAGTGGGTTGGCTCACGTACATATATCCAGGGGTGTCGTAGGACATCGTCAATCTTCAGTCTCTCGTCCGGGTTAGTCTTGAGGAGCCCGCGAATCAGGTCCTTGGCTGAGTGTTCAGTAGAGTAGCAGTAACAGAAGAAGAGAACACCAATAACACCAAACACTCTATTATGCTCATACTATGTACTATAAAGCCAATTGTCCTTTAGCTGACACAGGGTATTAGCTAATGACAGCGTGTGTTGCACAATTGACCCTTCGAACAATGCAAATTGAGTATGATACAATTACGTATGTAAACTGTACATTACACGGCAGCATGTACAGTAGGAGGCGGGGCTGTTAAGTTATTTCCCTGGCCTTCTTGGAAAGAGCGAGCCTTAGTAGAATGTGATAGTACTACATACATTCGCTCCAGACACATGCCCTATAGTTTACCAGCTGTACTATTCAAATCCAAGTCTTGCGTTCCTACTACAGTATATTTCTCATAAGACAGTAAGCGCTGGCTCCTTAATCTCAAGCTCCTTAATCTCAAGCTGTTTGTGTGCAGGTGTGCATTAGCTCCTTCAATTAATGACGGTTATTAAACATACCCTCGGAGGATACGTTGGTCCACTCGGGGTCAGGGAAGGAGTACTGTCCCTGCCGTATCCTCTTCTTCATCCCTGGAGAAATGGGAGCTCCTCCAGTACTGTAGAACGGTGGGAACCCACACAACCTGTGGGCAGTGAGCATGTGTGTGTGCATGGTTTTCAGTTTGTAAAATAGTACAACACGGTATGGGAACCCACACAACCTGTGTGGGCAGTGAGCATGTGTGTGTGCATGGTTTTCAGTTTCTAAAATAGTACAACACGGTATGGGTACCCACACAACCTGTGTGGGCAGTGAGCATGTGTGTGTGCATGGTTTTCAGTTTGTAAAATAGTACAACACGGTATGGGAACCCACACAACCTGTGGGCAGTGAGCATGTGTGTGTGCATGGTTTTCAGTTTGTAAAATAGTACAACACGGTATGGGAACCCACACAACCTGTGGGCAGTGAGCATGTGTGTGTGCATGGTTTTCAGTTTCTAAATAGTACAACACGTGTATGGAACCCACACAACCTGTGGGCAGTGAGCATGTGTGTGTGCATGGTTTTCAGTTTGTAAAATAGTACAACACGGTATGGGTACCCACACAACCTGTGGGGGATAGCGTCCGTCTGTCCGTGTGTTTGTGTGTGCATAGTCGGTGGGGGTGCGTTTTCCGTTTGTAAAAAGTAGACATGTATGTAGGTTTACTCCAGTGCATGTCTACATTGTGTGACACAGTGGTGCTCTAGCCATGCATTGAGAGAAAGGCACAGAGACAGTCTATTAGAATAAGGAGTATCCCTTCATGTGAAGGAAAGAATCCACTGCAACACTCGAGTTTAAAGATAGAGGTTTCACTTTCATTCACTGTGTGTATTCCTCAACCAACAAATACAAAAGTGAGAGCGGTTTACAATGCACAATCAGCAATTTACAACACCAATAATCCCCCACTAATATGCATGATAAGTATATACTACATCCATACAACTAAGCACTACCTTACCCTGTGATAATACACGATACACAATACGTACAGCCTTTTTACGGAGCATGTGTGTAGAAATGTACCCAGGGATTCTACCATGTTGGAGCTATGTATAATAATCTACCCCAACTATGGGTGTCACTCCCTCCCTTCATTTCCCCCTCCCTCATCTTATTCTGTCACTACCTCCTTAATAGTATAGTCATATACCATGCCCATCCCTATATACTTGTACATACTAAGTAATATGATCAGTATGTAAGTAGAGTGTGAGCTCACAGTATGTAAGAAATGACTCCAATAGACCACATGTCACACGACATGTCATAGTGCTCTGGCCCCAGAACCTCGGGAGCTGAAAGAGATATCAGAGAAAGAGAAAACTGCTTTGAGATGTCTCGTGAATAACAAACACAAACACTTCAGTTCTCTTTCATTTTTCACCACAAACACAACAACAACAGTCGCACCACCTACATACACTCACTACAATATGTTAAGACTCCATTTCGTGTGAGGCACAATGGATGTATATAATGTGTAAATAACATACATAAGTAGTGCTCCACCTTACACAATATACAACTTGTTGAATTTGTTATAATTATTATGGAGTAGGCAAGGCAAACTAATTTGATCTCCCTGCCTGCCTGCATGCGAGGCTGGTATATTACACCAGTAAATGTAACCATTCGCCCTGACACACCCCTCTTTTACCACGTGCAGTACTGCCCAGCACCACCAATTCATACAAAGACATGGCCACCTGATAAACTGGCTAAATCAAGCCTGAGGGGATGTTCCACTGAAGACACGTCGCAACTCACTAGCTGGGTGTTTCTTTCTCCTGCTGCTCATGTTCACCTTGTACAACACTCGGTAGCACGCTATTCCATATAGTGCCCACCCGCATTTTTACGTAAGTTGCAGTATAGTGCAGTAAATGACCACAAGCCACACAGGATCTTACCGACGTAGTAGGGAGTGTAGCAGGGAGTGCTGAGACTCTGACCCACCACATCCTTGGCAAACCCAAAGTCTGTCAGTTTCAGCTTGGCCGCTGCACCTCCATCAGTGTACAGGAGATTCTCAGGCTGAAAAAATATTCAACAAAAATTACAAAATTGTATGCTGCGTGGTATTGTACATAATAATATGCAGTTGTTATTTTTACGTGTGTGGCCACTTTCCATTTGAAATTACATTTTGTGGACTGGTGGCATGGGCTAAAGTCCACACTCGGAAAACAAGCTGCAAAAACGTTACTTTTCCCGTAATTCCTACATATAATATACCAAAAAATTTTACCTAAAAATTTGTGGCTCAATATGCTCCACCATACAAACGCATAGTGAGTTAGTGAGTTTTTTCTTTTTTTCGTTAGCAGATATACAATTTATTGTGAGTGAGTGCAAGAGTGTGTGTGTGAGTGTGTGTGCGTGTGTGTGTGTGGTCATGAGCCAACCTTGAGGTCTCTGTGTGCAATGTGCATGTTATGAAGATGAGCCACAGCAAGACTGATGGCACGAACTATCTCTGCAGCTCCTGAAATAAATGTACACAACACAACTAGACTACGTAGGTCATTTGTTGCAAGCAAGACAAGTTTACATAATCCTCATGCAATACAAAGTGCTTGTCACACAGATCATGCCTACACATGAGGCATACACCATAAGAGAACTTCATACTTCCAGTACTTATAATTATAGCACTTGGTATGTTACCCCAGCAATGGCCATTATAGGGTAGATTTAGCACCCACTTAGCTGTACTACCACCAACAGCTGAGGGCTGAGTCACTCCCTAATCAACGTCATCCACTTTACTTTCCTTATAGGGAATTCAGGCATTGTGCTGGAGAAACATATATAATATCCAAGTGGGTTTGACCATGGCTCTATTCAAGCTGCGCTCATACAGCATACTTACCATCATCAAACCTATACATACAGTAGACATTCCACCCTATTAAAGGGTTTTTCCAAAGCCCTTGAACACTTCAACTCCAATACTTATAGAAACCTCTTATCACCATGCTTCACTCACACGCACACACATCATAATACAGTACAAGTATAAAAGGCACCTCTCTCAGTGAAATGTCCCTTCTTTTGAATCCTGTCAAACAGCTCCCCACCAGACATGCTGCACAGTATATACATAACATGGCACGTGTGGGTACATATGACACACATGAATGACTATAACTATGCCACTAGCACGGTAAAGACTAGCACGGTAAGCTATGACGTACAGTGGAACAATAATACCAAATGAATCTGAGGAATGAGTAGGTTGACCTCGTGGTGTGCAAAAGTACTCTTTACTTGTAGGAGGTGCAAAACATGGAGAGTGACATAAAAACTAATACTCACAATGAGATTCACAGTACAGAGACACACAGCCGGTATGCAAACACACATGATGTAATGCATAAAACCTTGCTGAGTCACGATTCACATCTGCCAATTCCACTAGAGCCACTTCCTACATTACATCACCCGATATTGCTCAACACTGCATTACGTACACACTTTGTACTATGAGCATGCTTTACAACAATGATAACCTTGAACAGCGTCACTGATGTAAAGCATGCTCCTGGCTCACAAAACCTCCTAATAAGGACACTCGCGTAAAGGACACCCCCAAAGACACTTGATTCTGCCCTATACTAATCCATTAGTGCATCATGCATTACCCCTGAATAAGGGGCAACTCCTGAATAAGACAGAGGTAATTAAGTGTCTCTTAAAAGGACACTATCGACGTCCCCAAGGTGCCCCTTATTCAGAGGTTTCAACTGTTAACACATGTGCATATATAGAGGGCTAACCATTCCATGACTACCAGGAGACTCCGCTGGCCCATGTACACATTCTCATAGATGTCAATGAGGTTAACAATGTTCTCGTGAGCCGCCACTCGCCAGTGGAGATCCACCTCACGTCGAGCCTTTGGAACATCACGCAATATCTGCACAGGGAAATGAACACATCATTGTAATTATCAGGAAGTATTATGACAAAGTAATATATGGGGTCAACCAAAAATGGAGTGCATACGATAGTGTGAACATACACCTACTTCAAGCTTGAAACACACAACAGAGGGTCCACAGTGGGAAGAAAATCATAAGCTTATGTATGTACAGTCTTAAAAACAGCTTCACAGTAACACATGTACATAGCCACACAGATTCCCCCTAGGGATGGTGGGTGCGGGATAACACTACCGCTTCTTATACACCAGAAGGTTGACAGTCTAAGGGTTTTACATACCCTCTAAATAACGCGCACTACTCCCCCACACCCTGGCCCGGCGCGAGAACCACGGACTGCCAACATACCTTGAGCGCTCTCTTCTCCCCCGTTCTCTTGTTGGTGCACTCAAGGACCTTCCCGTTAACGCCGACGCCAAGGGAGCGAGAGCTGATGGAGTAGTCGATGGTGATCGGGTGTTTCTTTGGCATCAGAGGCCTACTCACGGCCAGATGCTGGGAAAAGTTGGGCGCCTGGGGACCGTGGTAGTTGGACATGACTGCAGTAGTAGTATAGTCTGCTCCTCCGGCTCTCTAGCAGGGTGTATCCTCACCGAGACACACCAACGGCAAAAACGATAAACGCTAAGTTATTCAACTAAGGGGGCGGAGCTTTCCGCATGCCTGTTGATCGTGCGCGCTCATCATGCGCACGTCGATTAAAGTCCTGTTCTCTGTTTCTCTACACCGTGGTTTCTATGTGAGAGGATGACTTGAGCTGTAGCTGTGTATGTTGTGTTTTCCGGTGAGTGATTCCAGAACTTTAGCGAGACTAATTCAAAAGAGAGCGCTTATAATTAAGCGCACACGTTAAATGTTAGCGCACCTAACCACAGAGGGGCGGAGCCAACCGATCTCTCTTTGTTTTCCGCTTGCTGCTCATGCGCACTCTCGTCGCATCGAAGTTCTGTTCGAGAGGTGTTGGCTACGCGAGACAAAGATGCAGGTGGGTGGACCGGTGAGTACTTAATATTTCAAGACACTGTAGCAGCACAATTCTTATGATAGAAATGGTAAAAGTACATCTACCTATGTATCATCGCACTCTTGCTTGCAAGCATCAAATGGAGGATTACATTCTGTAAAAATAAGGTGGATAAGAGTTTTGTCACTAAAAACATTAGCATTATGTACTGTACCTGAAATGTCCAACACAATATTCACGTACTCCTCAGTAGTACAATTGCAAATAACTTTGTGTGGGTTGTCTTGCAATGTAGCCTTGTGGTTGGAGGCCATCCCATCCTCAATAACATACCCAACAGTAGCTTTATCAGGGAAACTATTGCCATCGCACTTGTAGGTGAAAATTGCAAATGTTTTGCGTAGGTCTGTGGCCAAAATACCCTGGAATGTGATTTTCTGTTGATGTATGAAAAAAGTCAAACTTTAAGCGTAAAACACTGATTTAAAGTTCCAACTTACAACATCGGGTGTTGCTATAAGGAGAAACCTCTTCCCAACTTGCAATCAAAAACCGTTTCCCACAAAAGTACGGGTCTTTTTCTCTTCTGATTATTCCATTGACACTCTTTGCTACCTCAAATGTTGAATTGTCGTGAAACTCGTATTTGATTGTTCCACTTGCATCTGTCGTATCCGCTATATCAGTGAAAAACGGGGCCACCAGCGAGAGTCCGTTTCCTTGAGCGAATCGAAACGGTTTGAACCCAGTAAAATTGCCAAACGTAAAGTACCCGTTTGTCCCAACCTGTGGGACAATTGTTATCATAAAAATGAAACTCTTTATTTTAACTTACATAAACGCTGGTGAAGTTTTTGCATCCAACGCGAAAATAAGGAAAATCAATTTTGGGAGAAATGTTTGTCGTCTCCTTCAATTTTACTTGGTTTCATCACAAGGGGAATAAAGCTCATTGCTGTGTAAAATATTCAGTTTGTAAAGGATTACTGAGACCTAATCGTTATCTATCTTCTTACGTGTAAAGAGGGGTGTTTCATATTCACAGTAGTTGTCTATTGCTGCAGAAATGAAAAGCACTGAAGTGCAAACCCTCGGCGCATTGTGACGCGCACGCGTAAGTAAACGCATGCGCCGTACCACTAATTGATGGGCTGGGTTTAGTTTTAGCTGTTACTCGGGTCACTTGCCAGCTCGCGCAGAGTCTGACGCGGGCTAACTACACTACTAAATAGCATGCGAGAGGCGATACACGCCCTGCGTTGCATCTTCTGGTGCCTCTGAGGTACGCAGAGCACGCGGATCGATCAGACCGTGGTAAGCCGTCCCGTCCGTTGCGGATTTGCATATTGGCTTCTTCGCGCTCTAGCTTTGCAACGGAGCATTTTCCGAGAAAACCGCCTTTATTTTCTGACCTTCGTCGCCCGTTGGGTAGATGGTATCGTTTGTGGGACGAACAGACGTTCGAGGAGTGAGATAGAGAGTAACAGACAAACAGACAAACAAACAGACCAACTATACTGTACCCTCGCTGCGCATGCGCGACGAGGGTAAAAAGGCATTTTAATAATGAGCTACCCTATAGTACTAGCAAGGTCTCTCTGGGCACTCTACCCACTGAGTTAACATGGCAGCACAACACAACACAATGCGGACAAGACAAACTCTGCTGTTGCACACAGTATTTTCTCACTTAGTATGAGTAGGTGGAACCTGTGTATAACGCGGGTATTTTTAGGGTACTTATATATCCTTGGCCGTGGATTGCCAGACATACTACCTTGCAGGCGGTGGTCAGTATCTCTCATTTGTGTATATACTACTTATTATAGCCAATAGTTGGCATGATCATATAGCTACTCACCTGTGCATGTTCGCCTGTCTGCATTCAACAAATAGCCATCACTGCAGCTACGTTCGTAAGTGCCCTTTGTACTGTTGCCAATATCCTGACAGCCATGGGTTGTATTTGTTGCATCCACATCTATGACAAAACACTTGTAATAGGCTAAAATTTTGTCCAGTTTACTCCTTACCTGTGCAAGTAAGATTATTGCTATCCAGGGTATAGCCTGGATAGCAGTCACACTGGAAGGATCCTGGCAACTCCCAGCAGAGGTGCTGACACCCACCATTGTCTGTGTCACACTCTTTAATATCTGTAGAGAGGTTTCTGTTGCTATAGTGCATGTCAGGCAATATTAATAATACAGTGGAAACCTCCGAAAAGGAACCTCTGAAAAAACTTGTCCAGTCGGACAATTGGCTATACATATAGAGCTATACATACAGAGTTAAAAGCTACTTCTGAATAACAGGGGACACCTCTGCACTGTCTCTGCCCCAGGGTGTCCCTTAGTCACAGGTTTCACTCAACATACCTCTACACTCTCTTTTTATCTTTAAGGGATCTGGTATTAACTTGTAGCCATCCTTGCATGGCATTCCATTGAATTCAGAACATTGGTAGGTACCATTAGTGTCATTACACTCTCCCTTGCAGCCATTATCGTCCCCCTTACATTCATCAATATCTGCAGTGAGTTAACGATAACAAGAACCCTAAACAGAACTGTATTAAGTACTGTAACCTGAACAGTTCTTTCTGTTTGCATCCAACATATATCCATTTTCACAGCTGCATTTGCGTGAAGTGTATGCATATGTGCAATCTTGTTCGCAGCCACCATTATTAATATTACATTCATCTTCTGTTGAGGAAAGAACAAATGTTAGACGATTTTACTACCCGTGCAGTAGCTATTTCTCACCAATCTTATATTTGAGTGGCGATTCACATTCTTCAATGGGTTCACTTTCATCATTATAGCAGTAGTCAAGTTTGTAGTATCCCGGTGGACACGTATCGATGCACTCACGTGTGTGAGCATTACGAAAATTTTTACATGAGTCGCAATATTCAAAGCCCTCTGCTGCACAAGCTCTCTCACAATCATGTTTCGGGATCCTTGTTATCACCATTGGTGTGTACAATACTCCATGAAATTCGAACTTTTCAACAGTAATATTAGCTTCAACTGCGCTATTCCTGTTACTTATTGTCAGTGTCCAATTCCCATTTGGATTCTCTCCCCAGAACATGACTGACATGAAAGGCCATTTGTTGTACTTTCCTGCTTCCGTATCGTTTGGTCGGTTTTGCAGTAGCGTTACATTAGTACCAGCAGGTGATTCAAGGTAAATTTGTATGTCTCCCCTTGGATCAGCAGATATAGAAATCACAACAACAACATGTTCCAAATAGGAAATTTTTCCAGTGTAGTTCAGTGTGGTTGAAAATGGAGCACTTTTGCTTGCCTTTCTGTGGGGCAAAGACAGAGATGACAAAGAGAGAACATTTATGGTTAAAGAGTGGCATACTGACTGTGGAACACAAATCAGTTTACAGAGGAAAGTGAATCATATTGATGCAGCATCAGAGGAGTTCTATGCTTTGTGTAGAGTTAGCTACTTTGCAGACTCACCAGTCTTTAACACTTAAACCAGCCATGGACACATAATATGTCCAGTGCACCCATAAGAATTTTTATGGGGGTTATAATACTAGGCGCTTAATACTAATTATAAAAATTTCTGCTTTTTAAAGCAGACCCATGGCGTCCAAAGGGTTAAGCTGGACCAAGATTGATGCTTTTAAATATAATTATCATGATAATCTCATTCATATGATAACTGAGTTCTATTTAGTGGTGTTTGTAACATGTTCATGTCAAAACAAACAGCTTGTTCTTTACCCTGATTGATTTGGTGGCATACACGCGGGGTCTATTAATTGAGGAGGTACATTGATCCAGTGTCTAGCTCTGGTGACCATGGCCTCAGCATCCATGACTCCAAACCCATACTGACGACTCACTGCCCGACCAGCTCCATTCCATGTCAGATTATCAGTATCGTTTGTCAGATTTGGATTAGCTGTGTACACTATCAGGTACTGGACATCTCTCCATGTCAGACTTGGGCTACAGAAATATTTTTGTGAGTTATCCATGCCTGTTGTAAAGACAATATCTTATTAGCTACAACTGATTTTAATTAAGTAGATATTTATTGATAGTTTTTGGTTAGCAAACACTTTTCCTAGAAATCATAATTGTAGCTACGTGTCGAGAGATTTAAGTCAGCACAAAGTACTAGCTGGTACGTCAGGTATTACTGGCTCCGGACGTGGAGGTTTCCTAAGCCTGCATGTGCATAAGTTCCAATGCATTCAAACCACACTCACTACGGAAGAGAGAGCAGATGGCTTAGTTGCAGCCCGATGTCACCATTAACTATATTCATTCGTGTGTGATGTAATGCTGGTCACTACCTAAAACAACACCCCACTCAGCCTCAGTCGCACACTCACTTTGCTTCTAGCGCCAGAGCGATTATTCCAGACACCATAGATGCCGCTGCACTTGTCCCATTAAGAACGATGTCACACTCAGTTTCATCTGTAGCTGTGTTTCTCTGAAACAGCAAAAGAATTTAGAATTGCATATTTAGCATAAAAGAGGTAAATTTACCATTATTCCATTTGTCACTGGAGCCACAGTTAATTTGGCAGAACATGGCTCATCATATTCACTAGGCCTCCCATCCCCTCTAATAGCTCCGACAGATATGGTGTATGGACTAGAGGCATAGCCATCAGCAGCACAGTCATCGTTAGGTCCTCCATTTCCATTAGCCCACACAAATATTGAACCCTTTCCATCTCGGCCCTATGTTATAAATTAAGTCAGAATGAGAGAGCTCAGTATGTCCTAGATCATACCTCAGTTACTCCGTCAGCTAAAATCCTTCTAGTGATAGTTTTTGGACCACTGACGTCCGCTCCTGTGTCAGGTGCTCCCCAACAGTTGCTGTATATATCAATGATCTCTCTTTTATATGAAAGAGCGATTGCTTCAGTAATGTCTGTTGCATAACGTTTGGTATTCTCCTTATCATATCCAAATATTCGTAGAGCTGAAATTTAAAAAATGCAATAGGTAAAGTGCTTCAACATTATGCGTATTATAGTTTAATTTTACCTCCAAAATTGGATTTGTATGCAATTCCCAAAACACAACTTTCATTGGCCATTGGTGATGATGATGCAATAATGCGACTACATGTGGTCCCTTGTTTTGTATATCGTTGTTCACGTTCATATACAAGACCCATCCGATGAAAAGCGTCATATGAAATGTTCGGAGCCTAAATTGAGAACTGTAACACATGGTGCAATGATAATAATTGATTAGTACTCACAAAGTTACTCCTTAGGTCAGTGTGATTCACTTCAATCACTGCACATTATTACAAGGAATCATTATGTAATGCATGGCTAAAACCATTCTTCATACATACGATCATCAACAACAGCAACGGAAACGTTACAGCCACTCAGACTTTGGTTCCAGGCCCTCTCAATACTCACGCTGAAATTATGACTTCCTTCAGGCTGCATTTGTAATGGAAGGTTGAGTATTATGTTAAAGGTATAGCCTGCATATTTACCTGATGGATACCACTAGAACTTGGTAGTGACTTTACTTCTCGCTCTTCCTGAAATTGCTGCTCTGCTAAAACAACCTGTGTAACAGTTGCTGATATTTCCCCCTGAACAGTCATTATGTAGCTTATAGCTTACGGAGGGCTCACTGCAAAGATGTCTCCCCAAATCACTCTCAGCTCTTTGAGTATCATTTAGTGGACTAATTTTCTCGAAATGATACACATTCTCTAGACCGCCAATCTAAGGAGTGAACTATGACACTTTCCTCCAGAAAATGATTTGCTCACCTTGCCAAGATTACGAAAACCGTATAAACGTGCTATTGTATGAGCCATTCCTTCTCCTCCCTCATTAATCTCGACTGCCCAGTCCGCGGTGTAATTCGCGGTTGCAATGTGCGTCGCTAAAGTAAAGAACGCCGCACAAACAAACACACAGTGCTGCTTTGTCGCCATCCCTATAATTATTATTCGCACTGCAATCTGAAATCTAGCTATACTCCTTCACTGCAGATGTAGCTAAATGGCAATATTCGCAAGATTACGTGAATAAAAGACTCCTCAAAACGATTGTTACCGCGGCTTTGTGACGCGCATAGAGCCCTGCGCAACGATGTAGTAGCATTCCTAAACATGACGCACTCACGCACGAACGGGCATCGTCCCACTACCACGGCCGGTCTGCCTTCGGAAGACATGTTGCGCTGGCGCTGCCGGAAGTGCACGCTGGGAGCTAGGGTTAGTCGCACATTAGCTCTCTCACCACAATAAAGTAGCCATCCCAGTAAGTTTATAGTTCAAAAGCTCGTGCTTATTTGCTTGCTCATAAGTTTCACGTTTGTGCTTGCAGAATAATAGCTATAAGTCTTTGTGCAGTTAGCTAGTGGTACAAAAAGATGACTTTTGCATTGCCTTGCAGCAACACGTTTGCTGATCTTTGTGAAATTAATGCATGTAATTGCTGGAGCTTTTGATTGTATTTTTTTTAAGTTAACACCATTTGTGCATGCATCCTATAGTGCATCTTTGTTTTAAAGATGGAGGTACCAACATGCATAATGTATTGTACTCTTGATAGCTTGACTTTTTTGTTGCCTTATCCACCCACCCACACATCGAGTAGTGATTACACAACCACCTCCCTCAAGAAGTGCTGTGATAGCTTTGTTATGCTTCCTGTGGCCACGAATTGTAAAAACATTACCTGACTCAGCTACAAGGGCTCAGACATGCAGCACTTTTCCCACTATTTCTTTTTCATTTGCCTTTATCCTAACACGAAAATATTGTTGTTGATCACCGTTACTTAGTCTTACTCAAACATGGATATAGCCATCGACAGCGCAGTACATTAACACACCATTATTCCTTACATAATTATTTGCCCCTGTCGTTAATGAGTACTGAACTAAGCATAGTCATGTTAGAGACTGATATCCACAGCACAACTTTTTGTGTGTGAACAAAAGTCTCATTCAACTTCAATACACAGTTGCTGCGCATAAAACGTACTGTGTGCACAATGTTGTATAGACCATCACATGAGACTTTTGTCACGCGTGTTGGTCTTAACCTTTCACCATACTAGTTAGTGTTAGGTGAATCTGTATTTGAGCAGCGCTATTATGAGAGCCATTATCAGTGTAACTAGCCAGTGTGGGGACAAGTACTCTGAGGGCTGTGGAAGACAATGATACCACTTGAAAAGAAGTCAAGTGTGCACAATGTTCTTTGCTGTAAAAACAGAGAGCTCTCTCTTGTGTAAGCCACCCCATAGTGAGGCCTCACCACACAAGAATAACTAAAGGCTGTCAGCATTCAGGAACAGAAAAGGTAATACACAGCTGTCATTGCATAATAACTACATACATACCACTTTCCTACTGAACCTACGTTCCTTCTGTGCAAATAAGCCCTAGGTAACATCAGAGGGTTGCCTCAACTCTATATATGTATGCCGCTTTAGGGCCGCTTGCTACGTTCACAGGGCACGCCGTGACCTCCCACGCGAAAAACTTGTAGTGACTAAGGACCTCATCGAAAGATTGTGATTATACAAGCGGAGAGATCGCGCGGAGCTCGCAGACCGCAAGATCACAATCTAGCGTGGCTGTTTTTGTTACTGATGGCGTTCCATACGTGCGCGGAGTTCAAGTGGTCACGTAGAAGTCCGTGACTGCACGCGCACGTCATATACTTCGTTTGCTCGTCGAAAGACTAGTTTCAATGATAACGGTTTTTGTCGGATTTTCTCCTCCGTTTTTTTTGCAGAGAGCAAATGACAAAGGCTCCCCTATAGCTTGCTAGCTAAAATGTTTGCTAGTCTGCCATGTGTAATTTGGATGTGTGAGTAGCTACGTCAGGTGGCTTATGGATTAGCAGAAATTGTATTTTGAATTGGGAATTGCATGGTCTCAGAGGCTACAGTGTGCAGGGCAGTGCGCCTTGCCCTTGTTCCTTCCCTTTTCGTCCTTCAAGCCATCCCTATGTCCCCTTTTCAAATGATTTTTCCACTTGTTAACCCTCGGCGCGCATGCGCAGCGAGGGTTACGGTACTTGGTCGGTGTGTCTGTGTGTCAGTCTGTGTGTCCGTTCACGTTTTCTGCCACTAGACGCAACAAGATCGCCAAAACTCTACGCCAACGGGTTCGACGCTACATTTGCTTGATTTTATAACTGGCGATTTTCGTAAACACACTGCGTTCAAAAGTTATGGCGTGAAAAGCAAGTCAACAAGCCAATATGCAAATTAGCACGGGCTTACCTCGACAAGATGTGCTTGATCTACGTACCTTGGAGGCACAAGACGTCACAACGAAGGGCGTGTATCGACTTCCGCATGCTATCTACTACTGTAGCTAGCCCGTGTTAGACTCTCCGTGTGCTACAAGCGGGAGTCCACGAGTAGGCGCATATTATACAACGGCCCAGCCCATCAATTAGCGGTATCGCGCAAGCGCAGTTCGCCGAGGGTTTGCACTTCAGTGCACTGTCGTTTGCGGGAGCGAGCTAATAGCCTCGCGGAGCCACGCCTTCTAAACCCGCGCGCGCGCGGGAGTGCACACACAAATTCCTGCAACACCAATCAGATTGCAAGATTTTTCACGTCACGTAAATCGCCCACGCGCGCTTGCGGAACGCGATTGGGTTCGCCCTCTCTCACTGCGCCCGGTTGCCTAACTCCAGTTACAGCGTTGGCTGAACTCTGGCAGTTCACCGTGTCACTAGGCCAGACTCTTCCCATACACGCTCTCTTTGGCGCTGGCTGTGGGTACTTAGGACTCTGAGTCAAAGAGACACTACAATGACTCTCGGTATATACACTGTGGAGTCTTTGGAACCTAGACTGAGACTCTCGATCGAGTGGTATAGTACCCGCACGCATAATGTCAGCCTATTAGAGGCAACGTTACGTTATTGATAACGTGACAAAAAATTCACGGGGAACAAATGGCTTATAGGCAGTGCACCAGGCCTTCTCCTTTACCGAGAAGGCGTGGCTCCCCGAGGTTGTCCAAAACGGCGCGTCGTGCTACTGCGCAGGATATCACACATTGCCTATTCAGCGCCATTCGCTGCGCTCTTGGATGCTCTATATACCTCTTTCCAAATCTTGGTGGTTCCAAGGTGCAAGTTGTAAATAAGCTAGGATAGCTCGTGCAGATACAGTGGCTCAGTGGTTAGAAACGTGGAGACTGTCAGAATAAGGTGCCCGGTTCGAATCCAGGACCCGCACTGAAACTGACAGGTGGTCAAGAGCGTTGGCTGGGAACAGCTCTGGTTCCTCCCCTTACCCATGAATCTACCACTGACCCACATACATCTCAAAGGACAGCGTACAGTTCGGCATAGCACTGCATCGGTAGCCGTCTGTCTGGAGAGATTTAGGGCTGGCCCAAATTTATTATTTCGCCCATTGATTGATACACACATTCAAGCCTTTCAACAATTCTTTCAGATTGCCTATTACTCTTTTTTCAACCTTACTAAACCAACCCATGGATAAGATGAAACAGTGCAAAACATATTTTTGCGTGGGCAGTATTGTTATAAGCCTCTCAACAACTCTTTTGGATTGCCCATTACCATTAATTGGTAGGTATACTGCCCTATGTCCATACTACTCTTCCGAAAAACTAGCGTCACAAAACTACCACTCTTCACGTTGAGTTTGTGCATAATGTTGACTCTAGTGGTGAAGATTAATAATATCCACTTTCAAGTGCTTCCATTAAACCCTCGGCGCACATACACAGCTATGGTTAATGTACTACACTAGCAAGAGAGTAAATTTACAATACATAGTCAAGCCTATCATTTAGCGGTACCACGCATATAGGTTCGACATTTCTAGTGCACCGAGGGTTTGCATTTTAGTGCTAAAACTATATTGGTGCAACTTGAAGGCTAAAAAGCCCACTGGTGCAACTTCAAAAAAGTGAAGAAAAAAACCACTCAACTGGACAAGGGACCCTCATGCCCAGCAAAACGGGGAAACTCAGTGTTGTGAAAAAGCAGTAGTGTCTAAGGGGAGGAACCAGAGCTGATCCCAGGCATTGCTCTGAACCATCTACCAGCTCCAGCCTGGGGTCAATCTCTCGGCCAGCGGAACCTTATACTGGTAGTCCCCACTTCTACTATTGGGTCTTCTCTCTATGTAGCCTGAGTAGCTTTAATGCCATAAAGTGGAGAATCCTCCCACACATGACTACTTCACTTTTACAAGACTTTGGCTTAACACCAAAGTAACTTTTGATGCTGCTGTAGACTGGACACTGTCAAAGGTTATCACACTCGTCACACAAAATACTACTTATTTGAGTAATTACCCGACCTTAGTGTTTGGAAGTAGTTACATGGGCAATGACCTTAGCTATAATAGTGGGGGAGTAAAACCTCTTTAAATTTGTGTGTTAGTATTCTTGGATTTGTGATGATAGGAGTATCCACTTCTTGGAAAATGGATGTTAGCTAGCTAACCTCACTCTCCTGAGTGTATATAGCAGACAGTAGTAGCTAGCCACCTACATTCCAGGTGCTAATTTTCTAGTAAAAACTGTTCTTGGAATTTGTATATCATGATCCCCTTCTTGGAATCATTATAGTACCTACCTTCCTGTTCAAGGAGGTTACTATAACATCAGAGTGCTTTGAAACTTTGTGTTGCGTGTATGTGCAACCACTAGATAGTAGCCAAACCGCAGGTAGCTACTGTCGTATCTACACTGGAGTCAGTGCATTACATAGTAGAGTAGATACACATACGTTTTTCTTTGGTG